AGAAAAGCACACTTGATACCTCTAGGACCTAACTTTGTTCTCTTAGGATCCATATTCTTACAATATACAAGGCACCTGAAATTTTATTCTTTTTCATAGGAATCCTATTTATTATATGGCAAGCACTAAGTAAGGCTTCACCCCCTAAATTAAAGGGTAATTCAGAATTTAACAATATTACATTTATCATTTTTAAAAGAGTTCTATTCTTTCTTTCTGCTAATCCATTTTGTTCCCGTGTTCTAGGTGCAGAAGATTGATGTATTATTCCATTTTGTTCACAAAATATGTTAAATTCATTAGAAAAATATTCCCTACCTCTATCACTTCTTAAAGTCTTTAATTTTCTTCCTAATTGATTTTCAACTTCAATCTTATAAGTCTTAAAGGCACTCAAGGCTTCATCCTTATGTTTTAATAAGTACACATAGGTTTATCTAAAACAATCATCAATAAAAGTAATAAAATATCTATTACCGCCTCTAGTTAACATTCCATTCCATTCAATTCACATATGTCAGAATGAACAAGTTCAAGTAATCTTGTTATTCTTACTACGCTATGAAATGTCTTCTTAATCATTTTTTATTTAACACATGTTTCACATTTTTCCAAGTTGTCAATTTCACATTGTATTAATCCACATTTAATCATTCTTTTCATAGTATTAACTCCTATATGTGCTAATCTACCATGCCATAAATTAAATGAATCAGTAACATACGTAAAATATTTAACTTTATTTGAGTTATCCTCAATAGTATATAGTTTGACCATTCTTTCGATGGAATAACCCTTTCCAACAAAATGCACATTATGGGTTAATACAAGCTTTCCAGATTCAAAACCAGATTTAATTCCAGGTTTTTCCAAGAGTACACCACTTGCTAAGTTTTTATTCATTTTCGGTACATGTAAGATATTTGTCAAAGCGATCTTCTTTCCCGAAGAGAAAATGAGTTCCACATTTTCTTTGCCAATCACTTTTGATATTCCTTCATTTTCCATTTATATCACTTGATTGTCTTCAATGTCATGATAGGTTTTGAAGAAAGACTTATCATAACATACATGAATTGTAGCGCATATATCGTACCACCAACCTGGAACTTTGCATTGATTTCGCTCACCGTGGCGATAATCTCATCAACGGAATTCACTTGTCCTTCTTTCTTTTGTTGTTTCCTATGTCTACAATCCTTGGCATAGTGTCCCGATTTTTCACAAACATAGGAAGGTCCTCTGGCCTTGTTTTTGAACTTTCCTTGATCCTTTCTAGGACCAAGAAATTTTCCTTTCTTTTTAAATTTGTTGAAGTTGTCCACGGCATTAGCCTTTGAAGAGCCTTCATAAGAATTTTCAATCTTATCTCTTGCCCTTGATTCTTCCTCAATACGAAAATGTTTTGTATATCTTCCAAAAAAAATCTTCGAAATTGTGAAGAATCTTCTTCCTATATCATTTCCAATAACCAGGAAATTTAGCAATATTTGCTCCCACTTTCAATTTGTTTACAATTATTTGTAACTCATGTACTTGAGGCAATAATGGTATATTATCCAAAAATTTGAAATCAAAATTGTAACGACCCGGACCTCTCGCCCAAGCCGTTAACTTTACGTACTGTCCGCTTTGGGTGGGCGTTGCACACACTTATCCCTCACGGCTTTCTTTCGCGTTCCCCAGGATTCGAACTCTTGACCTCTACATAAGAAAGATTTAAGTTGAATCCTGGTACCAATTGGACAACTTGCCGGGTCACCGAACTTTAAAATTCATCCAAATCATCACTAAACTTTGTAAAAAGTTTTCACAGAGTCACTGAACTTTGCAAAAGATTTTCACGAAGTTACTGAACTTTAAAAATTATCTCATTCATTACTAAACTTTGCAAAAACTTTCCCAATAGTCATTGAGCTCAGTGACCCCTGGAAAAATTTTTGCAAAGTTCGATGATCCCGTGCAAATCTTTTGACAAGTTCAGTGATGGGTGGAGTGATTTTTAAAATTTAGTGATCATGTGTAAACCTTTTACAAAGTTTAGTGATAACTTGGGTGATTTTTAAAGTTTAATGACTTGCTGAAAACTTTTTACAAAGTTCAGTAACCATTTGGATTATTAACCCTAGGATTTTATATAAGCGATAAAGCTCAAATCAGTGGGAAAAAGCATATTAAAAAAATGATTTTGTGGAATAACGCTATGGATTAAGTGGTTGATATCTTAATAAAATCAAATTCTAGTATGGTTTTGGAATTTTTTGAGATGTTTTCTCGTTTGAGAAGATTTGGAATTGGATGGAAAGGTGGAAAGTGAAAAGGCACAGATTTAGGGATTATGCACAAATTTAGTGAATTGGGATGCTTTTACCTTTTGATTTTATTGTAATAATATAGTATTTGTGGCGAAAAAAGTTGTAAAGTAATATTGGAATATTAATTAAATGATAATTAGGAGGCGTAATTTCCACGTGTTTTTATAGTGTTTCATAATATGCTCTCTATCTATGTCATTCAAGTTGGGCTTCTTGGCCAATTTCATTTTTGGACGTTAGCTTTTTATATTAAGGAAATTATGCCTGGCATTGTATATTTCATATTAAAGATGTTGGCTTTCTTTTTCTAAAATACATTGTCTAGCTGGCAGCTGAAAACACCATTGACCAGCAACACCCCCACCTTCACCGACATCTCCGACACCACGTTTCAGCCTTCAACTGCCATCGTTGTCCACCACCATCTCGCTAAAAATTTGGATTAGACTACCACCATCTACCTCCACACATTTCGTCGCGGATTGAGATCACTACCATAAACCATAACCTAAAATTTTTGTATGGTTTGAAATTGAAATTTAATTTTTTTTTTTTTTTTTAATTTGGGCAATAGAGTGCAAAAATTGCAAATTAAAAAAACCAATATGTAGTATAATTTCTACTTAATGGTTATTTTAATTTGGGCCCACCTTGCTTGTAACAGCTTTATCTTATGATTTGGGGGGATTTAGCTTTTAGACTTATTCTTTAGTTAAAGTCAGTGATGTTCAAACTTAACCAACCCCCAACTTTAGCTCCTGAAGAGACCAAGATAGATTAGGCTGCAAAACCTTTCGATACAATGGGACAAGTAAACTAAGCAAGACCTAAAGTGAAAGAGTCTGGACCAAGAGATTTTCCCCTGGAAAGGGTAACAAGCAAGAAAATGGAGGGCGCACTTCACGGAATTAGTAAGGCGATTGAATATATAGAATGCAAGGAAGCTGCTACAGTACTTAAGACCCTAAAACACAACTAATAGTCTGACAACATATGGAGGAATCCTCTCGGTCAACGAAAACATCAATCTATGAAAGGTTTAGACATTTCTCAAACAAAAGATAATGCTTGATAGGTAAGTATGTTGAGGTTGTCTTACATCGATTGTGGAAGAGTTGGTGGTCAGTTTATAAGTGTAAGAGAAAGTCTTACCTTTTGAGCTAGCTTTTGGGACTAAGAAGACTCAACACCACCCAACACTAAATATCAAAACCCAGGTTATCAACAAGTCTTGGGTCCATCAATCATGGAAGATGTGGGCTTGTATGAGAGGGAGAAGGGTTTGGTCTCACTCATGGCCCGTTGCATGAGGGGAAGAGGGTCTAGTCTCGCGTAGGCTAGATATGTGAGGGAGAGATGGGTCTAGTCTCTTGCAAAGCTTGATGTGTGAGGAGGAGATTGTCGAAATTATCCCACATTAATTGTGGAAGGAGTTGAAGGTCAATTTCTAAGTGTAAGGAAAAGTATCACATTTTGAGCTAGCTTTTGAGGTTGGCAAGACCCAATATCACTCAACAAAGTATGCTTTCTTTTGGAACCCTAGTTGTAATTTCCTTGCATTCNCTTTTGCTCGGCTCAGGCTCGAAAAAAGCCCGTTTCATTTTATTTGAGCCTTGAGTTTCGACTCGCGAGTCGACTCGACTCAACTATTTGACATCCCTACATCAGGCTTGTATTTTAGACCACCGTTTTATTTTCTTGATTTGTTGATTTGTGCGATCCTACTATCAAGTGTGATGAAAAGAATGATACGAGCAAGTGAGAGGTCATTTTCATTATGTTCAAATAAAACATATAAGATAATGCTCTTGTTTGAGCCCCATTTTTTTGGAAAAATTCATTTTTTAACTATGTTTTGACATCATTTCAATCACATATTTTTTAGTAAAATAATATTACACACAAATCCAAAACTTTTCTTCATTTTTTAACCATACATTTTTTATCAATACACTAATCAAAAATTTATTCTTCCCCAAAAAATGGGGCTAGGGCAATATTTGAATAAATAAATAAATTTGATTATGTACAATTTTCTCGAGACCACTATTTCCAAATTAATTGGACAATAATACTTTACTTGAACTTTGTCAAACAAATTAATTTACATAATGGTAAAAGAGTAAAGATGCGTAACCCACAGATCAACCGACACGTGTATCCATTTTTAAGATTGATGACGGCTATGTGATATTTTCTGATGGACATTGCATTAAGACATAATCGACCACCACGCTTCTTCTAATAAGTGCGTTTCTTTTACCGCCATAGAGATTTTCAGAGCGTGTAATTCACGTGCGACATCTTGAACAGAAAAACACGCGTTTATTACAATGCTTAAAACACTAGACAAATTTGAAACTCCAACCCTAAGTTTTTGATATCTGATCTGAAATTGCACATGCCAAATCCTGAGGTTCTTAGAGAGAACCCAAAATCTGGAACAACAAAGAAGTCCACAATTTGCACATATATACATTCAGTTCTTCAGTATATAAACTAATGTTTTCTGGTTTTTCTCTTAACACTTTACAGGGCTTTCAAGATTTCAACTTTTTAGGTTAGCAAAAAATTGTTTAAAGAGCAAGAGAAAGAGGTCCGACGGAAGAAAGGGGGAGTAAAGACTCGTATGTTTAGATACATATATAGATACATAGTGTTAAAAATATAAGTGGAAGAGAGATCATGGGCAGGGGGAGAGTGGAATTGAAGAGGATTGAGAACAAGATTAATCGGCAGGTGACATTTGCGAAACGAAGAAATGGGTTGCTCAAGAAAGCCTACGAACTCTCTGTTCTGTGTGATGCCGAGGTTGCGCTTGTCATCTTTTCTAACCGCGGGAAGCTCTACGAGTTCTGCAGCACCTCCAAGTATTTTATTTTATTTTTTTATCTTAAACCTAATAATAGTTATATGAGACTACAGTATAATATATTGACCCTATTCTATGATATGTATTTTATTTGTAATTTCTTTATATGTTTGTCCACGCGTCCACGAGTTGACTCCACTCCTCATCGATCCATTCTTCTTTTACATATTTTATTATTCCCATTACCCAATTTAGCATCATGAAGGTTCTTAATGCTTTAAATTATATAAAGGATCTAAAACATCAATCACAAGTTTTTGCTTTAATTAATCTAACATTGCATGATATTAATGTGGAAATATTTATCCTTGTGCTTCATATTATGGTAAAAAGGGTTTTGTAGCAACACTTGTTTACTTTCTATTGGACTTGACTTTTCCAAATGAATAATATGATTACATTTGGTATATTAGTCTAAGATTGTAGGCATAATTAAGTTTGGTTAAGTCAATTATATCAACTTAATTAATGGCTTAAAAAGGACATTGAAATTGACAAAATAAGAAGATATATACAATATATAAGAAAGTTTGCTTATGGGTTTTGTCATAAAAATTTAAAGCAAAAAAAAAAAAAAAAGGTTGAAATGGAGAGTTGGGGTGCTTCAGAAAAAGAGTGGAGAAAAGGACCTTGGACTCCTGAAGAAGATAAGCTGCTTGCAGAATATGTGAGTCAAAATGGTGAAGGGAGATGGAGTTCTGTAGCTAGGTTTGCAGGTATGTGTAAAAAGACTCATTTTTCGAGTTCTTTTTCGACTCTTGATTGTTGCTTGATTACCTATTTCGCTTCCTTTAACTTATATATATTATTTTTTTGTATATATTCAGGGTTGAATAGGAATGCAAAGAGTTGTAGGCTAAGATGGGTGAACTACTTGAGGCCTGGACTAAAAAGAGGCCACATAACACCTCAAGAGGAAGGAATTATTATTGAACTTCATGCCCTTTGGGGAAACAAGTAAGCATACTATTTCTTTATCTTCTGATATGGATCGACTTCAAATTTATTGAGAACAAAACATTATTGTTCTGTCATCGACAGATGGTCGACTATAGCAAGATACTTGCCTGGAAGAACGGATAACGAGATAAAAAATTACTGGAGAACTCATTTCAAGAGGAGAAGAAAGACATCTGAAAAGCAAGAAAGGAGAAAAATTATTTTACAAGCACAAGAAACACAAAAAGAAGAAACTTATGAGGAGAAGGTGGAAGCCATAAGCAACGGAAGTTTACTTTTCGAGGCAAATGAGAAACACGTAATGGAGTTGGAGAATGAAATGTTACCTACCATGTACGAGGATTTCGTGTTCTGTCAACATACTATCCCAAATGATAGTTATTTATGGGGAGGGTTGTGGAACTGACAGTTGAATAATTGCAGTAAAATGGCTACTGCTAATTCTTGTGAGCCTGATGCCATTAACATGAATAGTAATAGTGGAGGATATATTTACTGAGGAATGTTTAATATTATCAAGCACATGTGCATGTAGTTTATTTCTCTATTTAATATAATTTTATATATATATCAGAGTCAATTTAAATAGTTTAAAAAATAGAGTGTTGTAATTCGTGACTTATTAAATGCAATCAATGGATTTTAACAATAAACTCTCTATTTTAAAAAGTTAAAATAAAGAGTTTCTTGAAACTTAATTTTTACCATTAACTTTTTAAAATAAAAAATATTTTTATTTAGAGAATATCTTGAAAATGCTCTTAGAACTTATATGAGTTTGAGAATTGAGAGGCTCTAAGAACTCGTGCAATGTTACTATAAATAATTATTGAGAGCCCGAAAAAAAAAAAAAAAAAAAGAAGGATGAATATTAACAATATTTGAAATTTTAGGGAAATAATTGACAAAGGTGTAAAAAAGAGGACACATGCGCAATTAAGTTGAAGTTCTTTTGCTGCATTAAATAATCTTCAGACTGAAAAGAAGAAATTTTAGAAAAAATGGCCCATGCAGGTCTCGAACCTGCGACCTTCGCGTTATTAGCACGACGCTCTAACCAACTGAGCTAATAGGCCGTAGTAGGAAGGTTGGAATTTTTTATCATTTTGTTAATAAACTTTGAAATGTACCATTAGGCATTAGCAAGCAATTTTGGTCAACACTGACCACTTAACAGATAAAGCTGGAAAATTTATTTCCATTATGCTATTAGAATGATGGAGATTCATTTCACATTGAACTAAATTCATTTTTTGTACTTCGCCTCTCTTCAATTTTTATTTTTGTCAAAATTCATTTTCAACCACACTTTTTCTCATAAAATAATTTTACACATAAATTTAATTTTTATTTTTATTTTTTAACCATACATTCTTCAAAAAATCATTATTCTAAAACACATTTCTCCCAAAAAAATAGATCTCAAACAGGGGCTTAGTTTTCAAAACTTGTTTATTATTGAATACCTAATATTTAACAATGTGTGAAGAATGTAAGACAAATCATTGAACGCAAATTCTGAACTTAGATAATAATTTGAGAAGATACATTTTGTTTCATTTGATAATTATATATTATTTGAAAGCTATCTTAAGGCTTCAATTTTGTACACTATTTGTATATTTAACATAATAAATTGGACTGCACTTGAAACGATAAAAGAAGATAGAGAATTAAACATACAGTTCAATACGACATACCAAACTTGCATTAAAGTTGAGACGTGGATGGCCAATACCATCTAATGTTATTAGGTTTCAAGTGAAAAATAACTCGAGAAACTAATGAGAGAGATTCTCGCAACCAACTTAAATTTCAAAAAATATTAAATTTCAAAAAATATTAAATTTCAAAAACTAATGACACTAACCACCGATATTATTGATTTTTATATTTTATTTAAATAGACTTTAATTTCAAGAATATTGTGCATAATGTAATTTTTAGAGAAAAATGGGTGAAAGTGAAAGTGAAATCAGAAGATCGGTAGTAGAATCTTAAGTAATTCTCTCAGAACTGCTAACAAGCCTCTATAGCCGTACATTGATATCATCAAGGGGCATGCCTAACACACTATTAGCATAGTCCGTTGTGCTATATGTATATAATTGTTCACATTCATATGATTAAATTAAAATTACTTCAACTAAAAAAATAATAATAATAAAAGAACTTCATCATTCTCTTTTTACACTTTACTTGTATGTAAACCATTATATAGTTATGTATAAGTAGCATCATTCTAGTATGGATTTGCAAAATGAATTATGTCATTTAATTTGTTGACTATCGATACTAATCGTGACTTGTAACATTAATTGTAACTAAACTTTTATCTTAGACCCAACTTGTTTTGATGTAAACGAGTTTGATTGAACACAAAATGAATGAATCTAAAATTTAAAATTACATTTCGTATTATCTCATTTAAATATTTAAATTACTGGAGTACGTAATTATTTTCATAGTACACTCGTAGTCGTAGTTGAAATTGACTCTGCATCGTGTCGAAGCAACTTGGGCGAAATAGTTATGTTCGTACCTTGATATGAGTGGAGAAAGCACTTTTAAATGTGACCGCCGACAAAACAATTGGGAGGTTGGGCTTAGTTGCTTTTGAATGTCATTCGATCAAACAGTGCCCATCACGATTTCACTATGCAAAACATGTCAACATCTATGCCATTTTTCTCCACTCAAAAACTAAAAAAAAAATAAAAAAAATAGAATTAAACTAGTTTGTCAAAATAATTTGACATGCTGCTTGACATCTTTTCATATATGCTAGAATCCAAGCAGTGACCATATGAATTAAAAAAAACAAAAAATTCTGTCCCCCTCTCCCCATTGTGAGGGGGCTATCAAGAAACGTGTCAAACTCTTCCTAACAGCTGAGCAAGGTTGAACAAAATATTATAATATCGTTGACAATTTATAGAATTGTTACATATGCTCGTGGAATAAAAGTTCAACAATGCTACATGTACAATTGGGGTTAACAACTCTGGTTGACAATCATACACATGGAAGGGGGCTCACGCTAAATAAAAAATCGTGGACTCCCCTCCTATGAGTACGATGTCAACTGGAGTTGTCAATCCCGATTGTACAACTAAAATAATTCATAAACGTTTCCATTTGTGAATTAGACTCACTAATTTTTTTCTGCATACAATAATCTCATTTTAGTTGATATTTTTAAAAATAGCGCGATTGACTTTAATTTTTGCCTTAGTTGTCACCCATTTTTCTTTATTGCAACTTATTCTCGTGTTGTTTGTCCTCTCCCACCCTCTCTATTATTCGAAAGCATCTTAAAGGTTCCTAATCTTTTACTCAAAATTTTGGATGCTCCTGAGTGGGATGGGAAGGATGACCAGAAAGTGTAGCAAGTGGGGCACATTGGTAGTTGGCGTCAAAAAGGTGGAGGGGGGGGGGGATTTGGGGTGGGGGGGGGGGGGGGTGTTGAATAAGAAAAAGACAATTAACGTGTTATGATGCTGAAATTTGATAACGGTAGTGAATTTCAATTCAAATCCCTCTTATCATTCATCATTCGTCCTTTTATATAGGATGATGGACTCAAACATGCCACCATGTTCATGTTAAGCTACAATTTTTCAACATAAGATTGCGCGCCATCCATAATTTGATTGATTGGTAAGTTTGTCTGTGGCAAGATCATAGCGGTTCTTAAACATCAGGCTAGAGATGCCAATTGTGCTGGCTTGGTCCGAAAAAAGCCTGAGCCGGCTCTGTTGAAGGCTTAGGTATAGCCCCATTTTGAGGTTCCTGGCTTAGCCCGAGCCAACCTGTGTAGCTCGCCAGTTCGGGACTTATTTAAAAAAGAAAAGTAAAAAAAAAAAAAAAAGGCAGCTAGCGGTTGCCTTAAAATAAGGCAACAATAAAATAAGGCAGCTAGCAGCTGCCCTATTAATTATTTAAAAAAAAAAAAAGAGGGAAAAAATCGAGTCGGCTCGGCTCGGGCTCGGCTCGCTAAGGTTCAAGCCAAAAGCTCGAGTTAGGCCTTTTTTTTCGTTGAGCTTTTGCTCGGCTCAGGCTCGAAAAAAGCCCGTTTCATTTTATTTGAGCCTTGAGTTTCGACTCGCGAGTCGACTCGACTCAATTATTTGACATCCCTACATCAGGCTTGTATTTTAGACCACCATTTTATTTTCTTGATTTGTTGATTTGTGCGATCCTACTATCAAGTGTGATGAAAAGAATGATACGAGCAAGTGAGAGGTCATTTTCATTATGTTCAAATAAAACATATAAGATAATGCTCTTGTTTGAACCCCATTTTTTTGGAAAAATTCATTTTTCAACTATGTTTTGACATCATTTCAATAACATATTTTTTAGTAAAATAATATTACACACAAATCCAAAACTTTTCCTCATTTTTTAACCATACATTTTTTATCAATACACTAATCAAAAATTTATTCTTCCCCAAAAAATGGGGCTAGAGCAATATTTGAAT